TGGGAGGCAGAGGCGGATGGATTGCTTGAGCCCTGGTGTTTGAGACCAGCCTGGGAAACATAGCAAAACCTCATCTCTACAAAAATTATCCAGGTATGGTGTTGGGTGCTTGTAGTCCCAGTTACTCAGGAGGCTGAGGTAGGAGGATCACCTGAGCCCAGGAGGTTGAGACTGCAGTGAGCCGTGATCGTGCCATTGCACTCCAGCCTGGGTGACAGAGTGACATCCTGTCTCAAAATAAACCAAAAGTAACTATTTCAAATATATAAGCTTTTCGTCTCTTTTTGGAGTACAATAAGCTTTTTGTTTTTCTGCAATAGCAAAGATGTAGGCCTTGTTTTGTGCCTAGTTTTAATGGAAATAATTATCCTCATTTAGTATGATGTATCTCTGGGTATATTATTGATATGTTAATTCTTCCAGCCAACTTTTGAAAAAAATCTGGCTTCTGCAATAGCATCCTCTCTGTGATCACTACTTGTCTTTAGGAGCTCCTCCGTGGCTGAAATTTCTCTTATTTTCCTGTTTATTGGGGTTCCTAGGGATAGGACATTGAACTGCTCACCCCATCTATACATATCCACTCTCTTGGAGAGTTTATTCAGTCTCTTTTTTGTAATTAACATTGCTATACTGATGGCTTCAAGTTACATCTCTATCCTGGACTTCACCCCTGAAAGGTAGACTCAGTTATTCATTTTCCTGTGCAACATATTTGAGTGACTGGTAAAAAAACTGCTTAACCAAAATATGTATAACATGGACATGCCTATATTTCTTTGCCACTCCAAACCTCCACCTTAACATTCCCTGTCAGAATGTTACCAAGATATTCTGTCCTATGTATTTCTTTTAAAAAGTTAGTTTTGCCTTTCATATTTAGATGTGTAATATCAGTTTTAATTTTATTTTAATAAGATCTATATAACTTAAAATTTACCATCTTAACCGTTTTTAAGCGTGCAGTTCAGTAGTGCTTGGTACATTTACATTGTTGTATAACAGAATTCTTCATCTGTACATTGTGAACAGAACTCTTCATCTTGTAAAACTGTAACTTTATACCTGTTAAAAAACTTTACAGCCACAATGTGATAATGCTGGCTGCTCAGACTTTTAAAATATTTTTTAATTTTTAATTTTTGCCAGTATATAGTAGGTGTATATATTTATGGGGTACCTGAGATATTTTGATATAGGCATGTAGTACATTAATAGTCACACTATGGAGAATGGGATATCCATCTCCTCAAGCATGTATCCTTTACATTATGAAGAATCTGATTACACTCTTTACTTTAAAATGTACAATTAAGTTATTGCTGACCATAGTCACCCTGTTGTGCTATCAAATCATAAGTCTTATTCATTCTTTCTACTTTTTTTGTATTCATTAACCATCCCCTTCTCCCGTCATGCCCCCACTACCCTTCCCAGCCTCTGGTAACCATCCTGCTATTCTCTATGTCCATGAGTTCAATTGTTTTGATTTTTAGATCCCACAAATAAGTGAGAACATGTGATGTTTGTCTTTCTGTGCCTGGCTTATTTCACTTAACATAATGACCTCTAGTTCCATCTGTGTTGTTGCAAATGACAGGATCTCATGACTTTTTATGGCTGAATAGTACTCCATTGTGTATATGTACCACATTCTCCTTATCCATTCATCTGTTGATGGACATTTAGGTTGCTAACAAATCTTAGCTATTGTTAACAATTCTGCAACAAACATGGGAATGTAAATATCTCTTCAATATACTGATTTCCTTTCTTCTGGGTATATATGCTGCTGAGAATTTTTGATGTCAGGACTCCTTTAGACTACTAAAAATATTGAATTACAAAGAGCTTATATTTATATGGCTTTTATCCATCCAAATGACCAAATTAGAAGTTAAAACTGGTTAAAATATTAAGTAATTAAAAATAACTAATAAACCCAACAGGTGTTAACATAAAATAGTGAACATTTAGGGAAAAATTACTGTTTTCCAAAAAAAGAGTGATGTTGTTTTATATTCACATTTTTGCAAGTCTCTTGTCTGGCTAAATAGAAGACAACTAGATTCTCATATCTGCTTCTGCATTCAGTCTTTGTAATATGTCACTTTGGTTAATGTGTATAAAGAAAATTCTGCCTCACACAGATATGTAGTTAGAAAAAAAGAAGACTATTTTAAAGGTCTTTTCAGATAGCTGTGGCTATTTTCTTTTTTTTTTTTTTGATACAACACCAAAACTTGCTGAGGGGCAGTATCTTCGAGGTTTATTGCAACATGAATCTGAAAATGTATTAATAAACTGTTCGTACTTATCTACATTAAAATCCACTGGTTCTTCTTGTACTCTGCCCATGAATATCTCTGTAACATCATGTGCATATAATTTGGAAAATTTAAGTTTAGAGTTATGCAGATGTTTTAAATGATGACATTTTAATATGCAGTACAAGAAATCATAGTTACCATATCACCGCTGAGCTGCCAAGTTCATGGTAGAGAATACAACTTTTTCAAAATTATAATTTTCCTTTAAGCTTGAATTTTATCACTGGGTATAACTTAGTTGTTTTCTTTGGAGTGACAAGCTTACATCATTCAACTTCAAAAAATGTCAAATACCCACGGGCAAATAATCATTGTTTGTCTGACAGTCATTCTTTAAATAAAGATGGTGTTCTATGTAACAAGTGGCTAGTTTAGCTCACACCTCCAACAACTGCACAGATTTTCCTGGAGACACTCTTCATACTTTGATATGCAGCAGGAGTGTCTTATATATGCTTTCTATTTTATCATCCTAAATACTAAAAAGGCATGCATTCAAGGCATTTAATAAAACAAATTATTTTTACTGCTTCAAGACTTAAATGAAACTGTCTTTTCCCCTTTACCGTGAGTGTATGGCAGTGAAGAATACAATGATAACTAACACATTAACATATTTTTGTGCCACTACCTTGATTGGTGCTCAAGAGGCAGCGGCATTTCCCACCACTGTTTTTGCACACCTGTGCAAATGTCAACCTTGTGCAAAAGATGATGTGTTAGTGTTATTGTGAAAATAGATTTGATCCCACGGACCCCTCTATCATCTAAGGTCCGATTATTGAGAGTCACTGTAGTAGAAGAATGTCCTTATTTGTTGGATATATAATTCAAAATATTTAGGGTCAAGGGAACATCTTAACAGCAACTTACTCTCAAAAGGGCCAGGAAAAATAAAGATTTTTTTTTGTACTGTAGTTGCAACATTTCCCTAAGTTATAAATTGTTTAAAAATATTTGTTTTATCTCTGCTTTATCTCTATTTTACATTAAAGTTATATTTAAATTCCATTACTCTTTCACCGGAAAATCCTGTATTAAAATTGGAATTTCTGGAAAATAAACTTTGTTAATTCTGTGGCTTTGAGTAATCCTTGGAACATTGCATAAAATCCATTTACTAACTGTGCTTCAAGATAAAGAGTCATATATTATATATATATATATTTTTATATACTATTAACTGGAGCTACACTGTTTACATTTGTTATGTCTTATTCACAATAAATTTAGAGAGAATATATATCCCCTTTTTACAGAGTGTGAACATGAGCCTTAGCTTTTTAAACTAACTTTCTCAAACTTACAAAAATACGAGAAACTGGCCAGTGATTCCTTTTGGAACAATATGAGATGTCTACACAGGCAAGATTTAAAAGCTACATATGAAGTTAATACATTTTAGCTCCTGAAAATGTTCATAATATCAGAAAAATGTTTAAAAAAATGAAAGACAAAAAATAACATGTAGACTTACCCTTCTCTTTCTCTAATACTCTTTCCCCTCTGGTGGGTGGTGACTGGGTTCTCCAGGCTTTCCCGACACAGAGCACTGTGCAGGTCACAGCTTTGAAAATCTCATTGTCCCCAAGAGAATGTCAGAAATGGAAGCCCTTCTTAAACACACAGGGTGGCTCTGTGCATGCAGTAATTTGACAGCAGATTGTAACATTAAAAATATAATTCAGATATGACTAAAAACAATAATAGGCATTTAATTCAGACTCTGAATTTTATTTACTGTTAGCCTTTGATTTTCAAGTACCCTGAAAACCACACAGTCACATTCAGACTGTGACTAACATTTTTTAAAAATACAATAGACCGGGTGTAGTGGTTCATGCCTGTAGTCTCAGCACTTTGGGAGGCCGAGGAGGGTGAATCATCACAGATCAGGAGTTCGAGACCAGCCTGACCAATACGGTGAAACTTCATCTCTACTAAAAATACAAGAATTAGCCAGGTGTGGTGATGGATGCCTATAATTCCAGCTAGTCAGGAGGCTGAGTCAGGAGGATTGCTTGAACCGGGAGGTGGAGGTTGCAGTGAGCTGAGATTGTGCCACTGTACTCCAGCCTGGGTGAGAGAGTGTGACTCCGTCTCAAGAAAAAAATATATGTATACAATAAATTGGTTGGAACTTTTATTCTACTTAAGTATTGAAATGAATTATACATGTAAAGTTATTATACCTATAAAGTTATATGTGTGTGTGTATATATATATATATATATGCATATAAAATATTCTCTTGTCTCATAAGGTTTGAAATGTCTAAAGTTACTGAAACATTAGAAAAAATCAACACAGATGGATTTGTCAACTTTCCTAACACCAGTAGATTTCACTTTCCTTTGGGTGCCTGTCTCCTCCTAGGGATTTATGTTCCTGGTTAAGTCACTTTATCATTTCTGTTTTGCTTCTTCCAGCCAAACCCATAGAGATGAAAAAATAATAGTCTTTGGATTTCAAGTATATGAGATCTAGGCTGTTCTATTAGATGGAAACTTACACCTGAATGTTAGCTACTAAAAAGAGTTTCTTGTAATTTACTATTTATTGGAAGCATTGCGTGCCATGCCATCCTCCTGATGTTTGTAACGGGCTTGCGTAGACTATTATCAAATAACACTTTTTTTCTTGATATGTCTCTTTGAGCTTCAGTGTTTGGGTATCAAGAGAGTCTCAGACTTAGGTAGTTGAGACTGTGATAAGTGCATCCTGTGAACTACCCAAATAAGGAGGAAAACAAAGGCAGCTGGGTATGGGATGCCATATAAAAATCACTTAAACCAGTCGTCACTTCTTGTTTCCTAAGTAGTCCCGTGCTGGAGGTCTGCCCAGATGAAGGTCTCCATGGCTTTAGAAGCATTGATGCTCCTTGCTGTCTTGATTTGGCCTGGTGCTGAGAACTTACATGGTAAATAACCCGTTTTAGACAATGTTTCCTTGAAGGAGTTATTCATAATGATCGCTTTCCATGCAAGTGTTCTACCTCCTGCAGAAATCGGATCTTATTCTAACTGGCTAGAAGATGAAATGCTTTCAGGCCAAGTAGACTCGTGTCAATATACAGAGGACACATTTTCTCTTTCTGTTTAAATGCCCCAGTTCTCATGCTTTTATTTCTCTCTCTCTCTCTTTTGGTCTTCAGTCCATCTCGAGGCTCATTTACAGAGGTTCTTCGGGAATAGTCTTTGGCTCTGTTTCAGTCTAACTTTTCAAACCCACTGTTAATTACTATTGCTTGATTGTATAATATTGTAAGATATTTGGTGTTATCTTAACTGATCTTCTTGCTTCCAGGCTCTTCATGTTTTGCTTGATGATGATATTATTGCTCTTTTCTTCTCTTAAAAAGATTGCTCTGACCTTTACTCATGTTAAACTCATCAACCGTTCTGCAAAGCTAATAGGATAAAGCTAAGTCAGCTTGTTGCTGCCCACAAGTTGATTTCAATGTATCTTTTCTGTTTTGCCTGGAATCTAAATGCTTGCCAGCTCCAAGGCCTGACTAAATGTCATCTACTGTAAAGTAACATTTCAATATTACTTTTTGTGTGTTTTTTTTTTTTTTGTAGACTTCTCTTTTTGTTTGTTTACTTGAAATGGGGTCTCTCTTTGAAACTGATATGTCAATTTCTTATCCAATTGCCCTGTAATCCCTTTGGGAGCAAAGACCACATATAACCTCTGATATTTTTCCATTTTATCTAAGATGAATCTTAAGAATGCCTAGATCAGTACAGCTTACCACATAACAGTTAATTATTGAAATGAATAGCGCGTAGAAAGAGCGACCATGAATTCCGGCTATCTGGGGTGGGTAAGGAGTTCAGGCCCTAACTGTCTTCCGTCAAGTCTGAGCAAAAGGAAGATTCCGCTGCAGTGAAAGTGTCTATATGTGTTCCTCAGGCTTTTCTCAGCTATTTGAGAGAATGTCAAACCAAAACTTGACTTTCTGGCTGGCATGTTGGGTCACACCTGTAATCCTAGCACTTTGGGAAGCTGAGGCAGGTAGATCACCTGAAGTCAAGAGTTCGAGATGAGACTGGCCAACATGGTGAAACCTTGTCTCTTAAAAATACAAACATTTGCCAGGCATGGTGGCAGGTGCCTGTAATCCTATCTACTCGGGAGGCTCAGGCAGGAGAATCACTTGAACCTGGGAGGCAGAGGTTACAGTGAGCTGAGATCACGCCACTGCACTCCAGCCTGGGTGAAAGAGTGAAACTATCTCAAAAACAAACACAACCAAAAAGACTCGACTTTCTAATGATAGTGTGAAAAAAATGCGGTGAAATCAGAAGTATGAGTTTCCTGTGCGTCCATGTCCCCTTATCCTTTCCATGCATCTTTAATCTCAGCTGCTGGAATTTATTTTCCTTTCGGAAGGACCTTCCTGCTCATCTTTCCTAAGTGACGTGAGTACAGTATTTCAAACACATGGAGAGATGTGATTTAAAGGTTGTGATCACTAATGTAGAACACATGCCTTCTCTATGCCACCTTTTCTGAAATGTGCATTGTCTTACATTGCTGCTGATGATTTCTAATGGCAGGACCTCCAGGCTCCAGGAGTGGTGGAGTCCTCTGTGGCCACTTGCTCATTAATAATATAAATATGTACTTTTTGATGCAGAAAAGACTCAGTTCCTCCAAATGGAATCTATTACAAATAATGATTATTATTGACTTACTGACGATTTAAATAGAGACTAAAGATGGGTTTTACAACAAAACTTGCATGGAACTAACATCCCAGATAAAGGATTTTATTTCTTCAGACTATTTCCTTTTATGGCTGAGATGGTTTCTGATTGTGGCTGCTTTAGACGGGAATTCTGTTCAAGAACCACCCTTTCACCTCTTGTTCTCCCAAAAATATACTGGGATGATATCACTCTTATTCTAATGCATTGCAATTTACTTCTGTCCCTTATGTTTTGTACTAAATATGTCAGCCTCCATGAAATTATAACTTATTTAGGAGAAAGCAAGGGGCTATACGGTTATGCTTTTTCTCGAGACAGAGTCTCACTCAGTTACCAGGAGCCAGGCTGGAGTGCAGTGGCAGGACCTCGGCTCACTGCAATTCTCCTGCCTCAGCCTCCCGAGTAGCTGGGACTACAGGCATGTGCTACCACACCCAGCTAATGTTTTTGTATTTTTAGTAGAGACAGGGTTTCACCATGTTGGCCAGGATAGTCTCGATCTCTTGACTTCGTGATCCGCCTGCCTCGGCCTCTGAAAGTGCTGGGATTACAGGTGTGAACCACTGTGCCTGGCCGGTTATGCTTTTTCTCATCCTTGCATGTTGATCCTCCTACCTCCCCCATGAAATTACTGAAATCTAGTTACTTGGGGACATAATTAGTTAGATATTTTGGAAAACAATGTTAATGATGTTTATATGAAAACCTTAAGCCATGGTTACCCTTGCCAGAGGAAAAAAAAAACACCTTTTCTTTATCACAAAGGACAGAGTTGAATATTTTTTGAACACTTACGATAGACACACTTCTGATGCTTTTCATATGGTTCTTTCCACAGTGAAAATAAATTGCTCTCTGGACTGGTTGATGGTTTCAGTTGTCCCACTTGAAGAAAACAGAAATCTGTATATATTTGCAGATGAATTACATCTGGGAGTGGGCTGCCCTGCAAATCGGATACAAACATATGTATATGAGTTTATATATCTTGTTCATGATTGTGGCATCAGGACAAGGGTGAGGACAGTGATTGTAAAAATACTAAACGTTTTGTCAGAATTTTATGCCTAGTATTACAATGATCTTTTTTAAAAATAATTTTTGTTCATCATTATCGTAATTTATGGGTAGAGGACAACAGAATTCCTCATTTATTCCTCACTGAATATTGGGTCATTTTGTGTGCACAGGACCTTAGATTACAGATTTATAGATTGGCTAGGGAACTGATTCTAAGTTGCCTTTAGGCTACTATTATATTTTACTAAATATTAGTAGATGGCTTTAAATTTTATTTAATTCTTCTAATGTGGAAAGTCACCAATCTTGGGAAGTTGTATCATGTTCAATGTTAGGCCATTTGAAATCTATCCATGTTCCATGAGGATTTGTGTCAATATACGGATTGGATTTTCATGGAAATGAAATCTCTTGTTGGTTATTCAGCTAGGCACAAATCCTAAATTGCAATGTTATCTTAGGATATTATCTTCTCATAGATTCCCAAATTTAAACAATTTATATTCATACTACACAAATATTTTGGACCAGGGACTAATTATTATAACAATCCTTTAAGGTATTGCCTTTGTTCTAGAAATTAGGAATTTGGAGCTTCAGAAGGTGCTTTGCCATTTTTCCCAGGGATACACAGCTTGGTGGTGGTAGTTTAGATGCCAGAACAGGATGAACACTCTCCAAAGCTTGTGCTTTAAACCACCCTGTCATTTGACTTCCAAATCACCTTTCTCAAAAGAACTGTGGGAAACCTTTTCATAAATGAATCATAAAGATGTCTATAAGTGGCAATTTAAATTTGCTGCAACGAATTAAGCTTTTTTTTTTGCCCCCAGGCATTTAAAATTCACTGTGAGGGATAACACTCAAGCTCTTCTTTCCCAGTGAGTTGTCAGATCTTCATTTACACCTAAGAACAACAGTAGCCATTTTTGATATCGTGAATGTTTTTTCCATCCTATTCAAGTGCGTGTATTTCTCCTCTGTTACTCCATCTTTCAGTTAAATTTTGTGCTCTCCCTAGGTAATTTCTGAGGAAACGCTCCTTTTTCAAACGGAGCTGTACTTTAACCCAAGGAATATACATCGTGACCCTGAGGAAATCTCTTTGGAGTGTTCTGCGTCTAGGTAGGTCCAGCAGATCTGATTCCTTTGGAATGTTTTAGCTTTACCTTTGTTAATTAGAAGCTTCTCCAGAAGCATGGATTTTAGAAAATATGATAATTGTAAACCTCAAATTAGCATTTACACAAATATTTTAATGAATATTTTAAAATGTTTTAATATTTTGAATGCAATGGTTACTTTAGCATAAAAATATGTAGACATATAATATATATTATATATATTATACATATATATATAAATATATAATTGTCCTAACAGACAATCTAGTATAACTAGGTTATTTTATAATAACTCAACTACAAAGCAGAGTTGTTAAATACTCCGTTACTTTTAGTAAGTGATAAAATTGAGTATTGATATTATCGTTCAATGTTTTGTCCTTTATAATATTTTTTTCTGATACATTTTATTGTTCAATTTCATCTTGTAAGAGTAAGTGGCTTAAAATGTAAGAAAATCAATCAGTTCATTTAATACTAATGACGAATACATGAAGGAAGGGCTTATGAGCCTAATCATTAAATATACTTTGCTTGCAATTTTGTAGAACTGAGGTATTGAATCCCAAGAGCCCCACATGAACTTTGGTACTAAGTGGAAAGGTATCCTGACACTTTTACAATGCCATTGAAATATTTATCTAAAGTTTTATAAATCTGAGTGGCGAATCTTGGAAACTACCTCAAAACCACAGGAAAAATTTTTATCCTTGTTTAATACATGGAAATAGTTGACATCAAAATAAGAGTTTAGAGCTTAGAGCCAATATGCAATGTCTTTTAATGAGATTATAGTACCGTTTTTTTCAGGGGGAAGCAGAATTGTTTTTCTTTAAATTTTGGTGAAATATACATAATATAAAATACTATTTTAAGTGTACAGTTCGGTGACATTAATTCTATTCACACTGTTAATACTTTGAACCTTCCCTTTAGATTATTTCATAAGTCTGATGGGTTTAGTGATATTCTATTTAAACCTTAAATAGAAACTACCCCTTGATTCTCTGTCTTTCTGTCTCTTTCTGTGTATCTCTCTCTGTCTCTGTGTGTCTCTCTGTCTCTCAGTCTGTGTCTCTGTCTCTCTGTCTCTGTCTCTTGGTCTGTCTCTGTCTCTCTGTCTCTCCTTCTCTGTCTCTCTGTCTCTGTCTCTCTCTGCCTCTCTCTGTCTGTCTCTGTCTTTGTGTATCTCTTTGGCTCTATCTTTCACATACATATATATGTTTTCAATTTTATAAACTACCCAATGCTTGGAGCAACACAGAGTTCTGACCTAATGCCCCAGAACTACTGCCTCTCCGTAGGCTACCAGAGTTATAGTGATAAATAGATATTCCTATTTTGATAGTAACTAGTATGTTGCTTGAAGCCTACTTTCTTTGAAAATATGATTTGACCAACAAAAGTGTCTGTTTAGGTTTTGGGTACACGAATTTTACTGTTGTATTCTCATTTTTATTCTGTCTCTGTCTCTTTCTTTCTCTCTCTCTCTCATATTCACTTACTCACCTTGACATATAGAATTTTGCCACCACTACAGTGGGTCAGTTAAGCTTTGGGTGGCTTTTACTTACTGGTCTTAGGATCCATTTGGCTGAGTGTTTTGCTGGGCACGTTGGTTCTCCTCTAACACAGGCATCACAAATTATCTAAGACCGTTAATCTTTCTACTCAGTGTTTGGTGCAGAAATCACGGGGAGACTAGCTGTAATTAGTTCTTCTATAAGCCTGTCTGCTCAAATCTCATGCCAAGAGTCCACGAGGCTCTAGAAGGTGTAGTATGCCAGCTCTACGCCATACTCCTGAATGACTGTTCTGAAAATGATCGTGGTATTAAACAGTGGTAAAACCGACTTGATCCCAAGTGTGCCAACACTATCTGCTTTCTGTCTCCCTTTTCTTTAGGAAATCAGTGTGGCTTACACCAGTTTCTACTGAGAATGACCTAAAATTGGATCCTAGTCCTTTTATTGCTGACTTTCAGGCAACACCAGAAGAGTTAGGATTATTATCTTCTATCAAATTGCTCTCAGCTAAAGGAGAAATGGAAACTTGAAGGTGGCATTATATATTTGGGAGGAAAACACTTTTGTTTTTTCATAGCAAGAATATAGTTGCTATATATCTCTCCTTAAGTCTCTGGTTTCTAAAAACCCTACTTCAGTAAAGGTCCTGATTAGTTGATTAGTAAATGTGTATTTCTAAATATTTGTATTCAATAGGGGCATGGCTTATTAATTTAATGTTAATTATTAGGTAATTCATATTATACATTTATTTTTTTTCTGTTCTGTGTAGAAGATTCAGCAATACGTCTTCAATGATAATGACTTGATTTAATTGATATAAACCTCCAATAAATATGTTCTAATATTTTTCAGGTAGAATAAAGAATAGAGATAGGCATAAAAATGTGCACGAGGAAAAACTTTGAGCCTAGTGTAAAATTTGATGTATTAACTATCACAAAAGACAAAATCCTTTTATGTGCAGATACTTAAATTCATGTAGACTTTCCTATTAATCAGTAAAGTTGAATCCTAATCAGAATGCAGTGTGACAACCTATTTAGATTATTCTAGAAGTAAATTCAATTTATTTTCCAGAGCTCAAGTAACCACTACCTTAGCTGAAATTCAATATTAGGTTTTCCTTTCTCCTCAGTATGGTCCTTCCACACTCAAAATGATTGATTGGTTGAGTTGGTCAAGCAAAGAGTTATCCTGCCACCTAAGGGAATTCATTAAATAATCATTACCACCTACTTTATACTCTCTTCTTTCCCTTAAACAGGGAGTCTATGTATGTAATATATCAAAAAAACACTTTTGATTTTTGTAGCTTTCTTATATCGAGGGTGAGAATTGAACTGTGCCATTGGCTGTTCAATCGCTTGTTGAATCTACATTTTGTTGCCACATTCTCCTGGAAACAAATTTTACCAAGATACTATTTGTTATTATTTTTAATTAAAGTGATACTATTCCATTTCCAATAAAATGCTGCCTATAGCTGTTGACTTGTCAAAGAATTTGACACTGTCATAGTGGCCATCTCTCTTTGGCAGTTACTATGCAGCTAAGAGGTAATACTTCTATGGGACTTCCTAAGTGTCAGACTATGGTACAAGTACATTGCAATAAATTAACCTTAAAGAGAAAACGGTATCACTATTATCCCAATTTTGCAGATAAGCAAACAAACGCAGGTTAAATCATTTGCCTGAGTCTGACAACTTGTTGGCGTTTGTTCAAGATTTAAAATCAGGCAGTCTGCCTCTAGGTCTGTCTCTCTGCTTTCTCCTTGTACATTAGCAACTATACTCTACGGCTTGTAATTGTCTTAAGTTGCTGAACTTTAGTGCTCTAGAAAACAATTGGTATTCAAGCAGTTACATAACTCAATAAAACTTAACGTTTAGCAATAATGTTTCTCTTGAATATGGAAGTACAATTTTTATTTATTTATTTACTTTTTTGAGACAGAGCCTCATTCTGTCACCCAGACTGGAGTGCAGTGGTGCAAACTTGGCTCACTGCAAACTCTGCCAGGGTTCAAGCGATTCTCTTGCCTCAGCCTCCTGAGTAGCTGGCATTACAGGCGCCTGCCACTACACCTCGATAATTTTTGTAGTTTTTAGTAGAGACGGATACTGGTCAGGTGAATGGTTGCTAAAAATAAAGTAAATTATTGAGTGTGAGACAATACATATGTACAAGATAAAGAGGGATGATGTGGCTGGATTTTAGAAGGGTGGCTCTAAAACCTCTTATCTTGCTATTTCACTTTTTCCTTTTTTTAAAAAAAAATTATGACTGACACAATTGTATATATCAGCTACAATGTGATGTTTCAATACATGTATACATCAGGTAATGAGCACTTAGTATACCAACCACCTTAAATATTATTTCCTTTAATAAGAACATTCAAAAACCTCTCTTCTAGTCATTTTGAAATACCCAATACACTATTTTTAACTTTCATCATCCTGTTACAGAATAAAACACTAGAACTTATTCCTCCTAACTAACTCTAGCTTTGTTGGCCTGTAGTCCCAGCTATTTAGGAGGCTGAGGCAGGAGACTCGCTTGAACCCAAGGCGGTGGAGGTTGCAGTGAGCTGAGATTGCACCACTGCACTCCAGGCTGGATGACACAGAGAGACTCTGTCTCAACAACAACAACAACAACAACAACAACAACAACAACAGCAAACATAATGGGGAATCTCTCCAGGATACCCACAGTGACATACAATTTTTATCTGGGCAAGATAAGAAGCTGTTGCAGGCACTGTAAAAAGAGATGGATCATTTTCATTACAGAGCCTATATTCCTCGAATGCTTCCAAAATAATCAGAATTTCAAAAGGTTGTATAGTTTTTAATATGTGAAACTATGTATTTAAAAGGTTGAATGGAGTGGAAGTCAAATTAATGGTATTTTAAAGTCATCCCTAAAATTAAGGAGCAATCCTGAGGGCAAGGGTTCTATATTCTGTGAAAATGCCAGAATTCCTTAGCATCTACTCTTCTTCTTTAGACAAGGTTGAAAAGGCATTTTAAAATTGAAAGCTAGTTTCAGTGAAATGTATGTCATACTGTTCTAATCAAATAAATCCACTGATGGCTCATAGGAAAATAAGTCCAAAAAGCTAGAAGAGAAATGAAAACCAGAAAAGAGTCATGATATAATATTTATACCTTGTAGCAGTTAGGGTTCAATCAGGTAAGCAGAACTAGATTGAGTGATATTGATAAGGAATTTATCATAATTAATTTTGAGAACTGGGAAATAATTCTATGGAAGGCTCTTGCTTTTGCATCTGATGGTGAACCTGTTTTTGTTGGAGGTAGCAGGGCTGGCAGCTTGGAAAACAAGCTGGACTTGAAAAATGATTAAGATGGTACATTTTATGTTATGCGTTTTTAACAGTAATTTTTAAAAAGGCACACTTGAAGCATGGAAACATAAGAACACATTGGAACCACATCTTCCTCTCACTTCCAACCTCAACCACAAGGATGACCTGGCATCCATTGCCATAGAGTTGTGCCAGTGCCTGGTCCAAGACTCAGAGGTGCTAAAGGAGATTTGGTTAGAGTAGGAGAAATCGCAGGCCCAGCTATGGTCCAGTGCTAGGGAGGTGGGCCAGAGGATCAGAGACAGAGTGTGCAACCTGCACCCTAAACCCCCTTTGGAGCACCATGGCTACTGTCTTACTTTCTACCTTCCAAATCTCACACAAATTTCTTATATGACCAACCCAAGGATGGTTCAGGAGAAATAATTCTAGTAAATGTAATTACATCTTAGCTGAATTGACCCAGAAAAAACTCTTAGGCTGATAAAAAATGGAGTTGAATAGTGCCATGGGTGGCAACAAGTGGGAATATTGAATGCCACATACACTATATGTGTGCTCATAGAGGTGGAGGCATTCTGGGGTATTCTACCTGGCAGTCCTCAGTCAAGTTGATTATGTGCACATCCTGTGGCCCAGTAATTAGGATTTTGATTATATATTGCAAAGAAATTCTTATACAGAATTAAGGAACATGGATATGAGAAGATTCCTGATATCAAGCTACAATCCCTGTGTGTTCATTTATGGGTGGGTGGTTAGGTAAAACACGATGGATGTAGGTGCAGCATTTGGATACAGCAGACTGCACACTCATGGAGGCTTACCCCTATAATCCCAGCACTTTGGGAGGCCAAGGCCGGTGGATCACTTGAGGTCAGGAGTTCGAGATCAGCTTGGCTGACATGGTGAAACCGTCTTTACTGAAAATATTAAAATTAGAGGGGCGTGGTGGTGCATGCCTGGAATCCCAGCTACTGAGAGGTTGAGGCAGGAGAATCACTTGAATCTGGGAGGCGGAGGAGGTTGCAGTGAGCCAAGATCATGCCACTGCACTCCGGCCTGGGTGACAGAGTAAGACTTTGTCACAAACAAACAAATAAACTTGGGCATTATTAACAGAGCTGAGTGAAAAAGAGGACCATGACATATATAACACAATGGCATTTATGTATATTAAGAATGTTTGCATGTAGAACTCAATGGTTACTTTTGGTGAGAAGAATCCAAATCAAGGCACAAGAAGATGGAAGAGCTGTAATATTTCATATGAAGCCCATCTTGCACTACGGAAAATGTACTTATCAGGATGAAATCCTATTAAAGTGGCTGCCAATGAATGAAATCTGCTTAACTCCAAACTAAGATAGAATTTTACACCCTAAAATAAAGTATATAGGCCACCCCAGGAGAAGAGGTGTTCTTAGAGAAATGCATTTGTTATTTCCTATCTCATTTACAACTACCTCATAACAAAGTCCTTTTAGACATGCCCAGTAGTTCCCCAATCTGGCTTCACATTAGACTTGTCTTGGGACCTTTAAAAAATATTCCTGTTGAGCTGGGTGAAGAGGCTCATGCTTGTAATCCTAGCACTTTGGGAGGCTGAGGCAGGTGGATCACTTGAGGCTAGGAGTTCGAGACCAGCCTGATCAACATGGTGAAACCCTGTCTCTACTTCAAAACAAAACAAAACGAAACAAAACAAAACAAAACAAAACAAAAATAAGCCAGGCATGATGGTGTGTGCCTGTAATCCCAGCTACTCAGGAGGCTTAGGCAGAAGAATTACTTGAACCTGGAGGCAGACGCTGCAGTGAGCCAAGATTGCATTCCAGCCTGGGCAACAGAGCAAGATTCTGTCTAAAAAAAAAACAAGTTCAGATTCATGTTGGGTTTATGACAAATATCCTGATTTAATGTTTTATAAACTCCCCAGAAGATTCTACTAGGTAGTTGAAAGTAAAAGCGTTGTATTAGCGTTTTCTATCTAGGCTATTTCCATGTTTACCAATAAGTGTCGTCATAAATTCCTCCAGTTTTCTTAGGAACTCTAAAAAAGAATCCCTTTATTGAAATGCTAAGATTGAATCTCTAGTCTATTTTCCTCATTTATTTGAAAACACAGCATGAGGTCAAAGCAAAGAATCAAGGCTAGTTTCTGATTGATGATTTTATTTTATCTGATGGCTTATTATTTCAAGACCTCTTGGAACAACAATCCTTGTCTGTCTTAAACTTTTATTAATCTTACAATTATATTAACTAATGCCATTTCAGCATGATTTCAAAGTTGTGACTTTTGCAACATTATGAACTAGTAATTTACAAAATAAACACATTTAATGCATTCCAAAGTCAAAAACCTTAGGTGGTTAACTGTTTTAAGAGCTTATACATGCGTTAAGATATATAAAGGTACTGCTTCATTAAGGGTGTGATTTTAATATGTACACACATGGGCATGAGTGTGTGTGTGGGGGGTAAAACAGACAATGCAGGCAATAATATTTAGTAAGTAGATAAAAACAGCAAGTCTTGAGAAATATATCACTTTTTAAATAGTCAAATGTGGCACTTGTAAATGAACAGATAGACTATTGGTGAATTCACTTGAAGATTTCCTTTTCCTTTTGGAAATTTGCAACTTGAGTTTTGAACTCAATTATTCTTTAAGGTACTTCAGCACTGGAAGCTACTCAGTTTCTCCTTGATAATTTCCCCTGCCATTAGGAGATACTGCATGCAAGTGGAAGAAAGTTCTATGAATCTTCCTTTTTTCCTTTTTGTTTTTTAAAATGTGTTATTTATTTTTATTTATCAGCCATAAAAAAAGAATAAGATCCAGTCATTTGCAACAACATGAATGGAACTGGAGATCATTAAGTCCAGGCACAGAAAGGCAAATATCACATATTCTCACTTACTTGTGGGATCTAAAAATCAAAACATTTGAACTCATGAAGACAGAGAGTAGAAGGATGGTTACCACAGGTTGGGAAGGGTAGTAGTAGGGGGCTGTGAGGGGAGGTGGGGATGGTTAATGGGTACAAAAAAATGGAAAGCATGAATAAGACTCACTATTTGATAGCAAGCAAGGTGACTGCAGTCAATAATAACTGTACATTTAAAAAATAACTTAAAGAGTGTAATTGGATTGTTTGCTATTCAATGGATAAGTGCTTAAGAGGATGGATACCCCATTCTTCATGATGTGACTATTGTGCATTTCATGCCTGTATCAAAACAGCTCATGTACCTCATAAGTATGTACACTTACTATGTACCTACAAAAATAGGAAAAAAATAATTTTTATGTATTTATTTTACTTTTTTTCCTCTCAGCTTTAATGAGGTGCAATTAGATAAAATGTTCTGGCGATCTAATTTTTTTTAAGATCTCTCTTAACAAATTTTAAGTATATGATACAGTGTTGTTAACTCCAGTTGTCCATGTTAACTGGAGTTAACAATACTGTATTGTATACTTAAAATTCATTAAGAGAGATCTTAAATGTTCTCACCACCACCACAAAAAAAAAAAAAAGATTATGTGATGTGATGGATAGATTAATTATCTGCTTTGTGGTAATGATGTCACAATGCATACATGTGTCAAGACATCATGTACATGGTAAGTATATTAAATTTTTATTTGTGAGTCTTCCTTTGAAAGCGGTTTCTCACAATCATTCTCTCTCTAAGGAACTGAAGAAAGAGCCCAATCATTTTTATTATTTATTTTGAACTCATGTGGAGATCTTAGTTACTAAGATCTTTGCACACATTCTGTCATTTAAAGTTCATGCCCCAAAGTGAGCACCATGATCTTCAATTTACAAATGGGAGAACTGAAGTCTTAAAGAGTAAGTAACTTCCTTTCATGGTTTTTTCTACAGCTCCAAATTCAAAACGAGCATGTTGAAAGCATCCACTCTTTTTCCTTTCACTCATTCATATTTCTTTCTCTTCTTTGCTGCAGGCATTTTCTTGTCGTCCCTTTTTTCTTCAGTATTCCATTTCCAATGGTTCTGGCTAAAATGCGGAGGGAAGGAGCCTATCTTTATTACCTTCCTTTTCACTATTTCCTTCTGACTTTTGTCACTGTCTTCTCTTTCGTCAGTCCCTTTCACTCCTAAATGTAGACCCTGGAGAGCTGCTGCTCTAGGGCTCAGGTGCCAGCTCTCCTAGCAGAGAGCATGTGCAGAAGTTTTCTGGCAGCTGGGCCCCTGCTCACTTCATATTCACAATCTCTGCCCCACACACTATGCTTTGATCTTGGTATCTGGCCCTCTTTCTCTTTCCTGTGATCACATGGCCACTCATGCTCCCGTTTGTAGGACTAGGACCTCACTTTCCTTGCTGTGAAAATTCTTCTCTGTTTCACAGACTCCCCTGGGGCCATGGATCAGGAGCTGTGCCCTCGTTCTGGGCCTTCCTCTCAGGCCTGGCCCCTGTGAACTTCCTAAGGATTGTGGTTTGAATCTTCACATGTTACCTACTTCCTTACTCCCTGTCAGGTGACTCTGATCTTTCTATCACCTGTTTTAGAACATTTATTTAGGATGATTATATAATTTGGCCACTTTCGAAACTGAAAGGAGGCCGGGCACGGTGGCTCACACCTGTAATCCCAGCACTTTGGGAGGCTGAGGCAGGTGGATTACCTGAGATCATGAGTTCGAGACCAGCCTGACCAATATGGTGAAACCCCATCTTTACTAAAAATACAAAAATTAACTGGGTTTGGTGGCATGTGCCTATAGTCCCAGATACTCTGGGCACTGGGACAGGAGAATTGCATGAACCTGGGAGGTGGAGGTTGCAGTGAGCGGAGATCATGCCACCGCACTCCAGCCTGGACAACAAAGCAGGACTCCATCTAAAAAGAAAAAAAAAAAAAAAAAAAAAAACTCCCAAAACCCAAACAGACTGAAAGGAGGGGTTTTAACAATCATGTTAGGATAACAGGCATACTTTGGGCTTTACCCTTGTATGAATTGGAGATTTTGCACAAGGCTTTGTCAGTTAAATTTTAGGAAAGCAGGGTCACATTTCTATACCGTAATTTTCTCTACCATAAAATCAGGTTAATAGTAGTACCTGGGTCCTGAGTTATTGTGAGGAAATGAGTTTACATACGTAAAGCATTTAGAACAATGACCTATACATAATAATCACTTAATGTATTTAAACCATAATTAGCATTATTATTATATCTATGATATTGAGCAAAGTAACTTCTCAAAGTAGGTGAGAATTGAATGTGATCATGCATGTAAGGTACATAGTGCTGTTGCTGGCACATCATGTAAAATAAGTGCCTGAGTGACCACCTCCCTCCTCCAGACCCTTCTCTTACTATATGACTTTTATCTCTTCTTGCTATACAACTAACTCTGTTCTACCTCCATCCACAACCTCTTCTCACTTGTCTACCCGTGTCTGTTGCTTGTATTTCCTGTTCCAACAATGTGTTAAGCAACATCTGAAAGCCAGAAGACAGTTGCCCCTGACACGTTTCCTAATCATCACTAAGGCCTGGGGAGACGCAGTGGACCAGCCAGGCACCAAATGCAGGTGTGATTGGCACACTAGTCAGTCAGCCCACAAAGCGTCTTCACCAGCTCCTCTGAAGTGTTGCATAAGGCAAAGATACGTTAAGTCTGTGGAGGCTGCCGTTTTCCGGAAAGGGCGCTGTAGTGATCTTTTCTGAGTGTCTCCTACTTATGACAAGTTGGACTTGGGAGGAAAGACATCTGCCAAAGCCTGAAGCCTCCAAGGTATAGATTCTCTCTCCATAGACATTCCTTTTTCTTTTATATCTTTGGTTAAAATGTCTTCTGGTGGACTACTGGGGCTGTTTGCCAAGGTTTCTGTTTGGTTGCTATGTAGAGGTTTGGAATACTTCACTGTGAGCATGGCTTCTCTTTAGGATGTGATGATTCCTTTGGAGTCATAATAAAATGTTAGACCTAATAATGCAGGAATTTCTTTGGAAAAAAATGTGGGCATGGATACACACATATGCACACACACCTCTTAGATATATTAAATCCCACTGACTGCACCTGAGTTTGTCTGCCAGCTCTGATAATGAGGGGTGGCCTGGATGTGCCTGAAGTATGGGGTCTGTAAAATGCATTTTAATATAGCTTAAGGGACAGTAGAGTGTAATGATCACTTGAGATGGATTACCAGGTTCTGACTTGTAGTTTTTCAAATAGTTGTCTGTGTGGGCTTGGGAATGTTATTTAACTTCTCTGTTGCTCAGTTTCTTCGTCTGTTAGATGGAAAGGATCGTAACAGTAGTACCCATTCATCTGATGTTGTGAGAACGAAATTAGTAAACATGAGTAGAGTCCCTAGAACAAACACCTGCCACATACTAAGAGCTGGAGAGGTGAACTTAACTGGTCGTTTCCTAGAAAATCTGCATGTCTCTGATTTTTTTAACAAATAAATAATTGATTTGACCAAATTTTAGAAAATATAGTTTGTTTTACCTGATGGTTGAAAATTATCCCTGATTATTTTGATTATTGATACAAATCAAGTTAAATAACATGGTTAGGTATTTTCTCTCTGCAGAAATGCTCTTGGAGTTTCTGAGATGAGAGGCTCCAGTGCTCGCAGACATATTTTCCATTATCACTTATCAGAATGGCTACCTTGGGCTGGACCAAAAGTCTGGTTATTGATTGAACATGTGTTAGCAGAGTGCTTGCCATCTAATGATTCTGAGCTAGGCACTGGAGTGGCACTTATGAGTGGATAGTGAGGTAACAGACAAGTATCCAGGCAATTAGAGCTCAGGTTGATTAAGTGGTATGAGAAGGGAATTTGGGGAAATTCTGAGAGCATCTAAAAGGGGTGTATCTTCCAGACTTAGCCAGAACTAAAAACAACTTCCTGGAAACATGACATGTGGGCTGGAAATCGGTCTGGAAGGGCCAGGCATGGTGGCTCACGTTTGTAATCCCAGCAATTTGGGAGGCTAAGGTGGGTGGATCACCTGAGGTCAGGAGTTTGAAACCAGCCTGGCCAACGTGGTGAAACTCCATCTCTACTAAAAATACAAAAATTAGCTGGATGTGGCGGTACGTGCCTGTAATCTCAGCTACTTGGGAGCCTGAGGCAGGAGAATTGCTTGAACCAGGGAGGCGGAGGTTGCAGTGAGCCACGATCCTGTCACTGCACTCCAGCCTGGGAAACAGAGCGAGATTCCATCTTGAAAAAAGAAAAAAAAAATCAGTCTGGAGGGAGACCAGAAATTATCCACGTGAAACTTGAGGGGACTTGTCTTTCAAGAATAGGGGGATAGCACAGAGTATTGAAGACATTTGAGGGCTTGGAACTTCTGAAGGAAGACAAATCAATAAAACAAGGTTGGATGGAGTTTTGAGATAGGGAGATGTAGGCAAGAGATTTAAAAGTTGATACCAGCTGTTCATCCAGTCTACCACTGATGGACATTTAGGGTGATTCTATGTCTTTGCTATTGTGAATAGGCGAGAGGTTTTCTGATCGCAAAGCAGCAACTCTCTCCACATTGCATGCATCTTAGTTCATTAGATATTTAATCCAAAAGACGTATAATTTTCCAATGGATAAATTTGAAGTCTTGGCTTTTTGACTATTTTTATTTGTACTTCTTGCAATAATTACATTGGGAACTCATTCACATAGTTTGCTTTAAGCTCTGTTGATCTTCCCTTGCTCTTGGGTTCTGTACACTGTTGAACATGGGAGGTAAAGGCTCCTTGTCATTTTACATTCATCTAAATTTAAATACATAGAAAATGTAATTTAATCCTAGCATGAAAATCAGTGTTGGTAGGAAACTTTGATGAGGAGTATTGGTAGGAAAATTTTATGACACTTATAATAAACTTTTTATCAGTATTGGTAGGGAACCTTTACAAATTTTTATAGCATTTCCCAGTGTAATAATAAAACATGGCCTGACTCTCACTTTCTTTTAAATTAGTGCTTAGTAAATTTGTTACCACACTTAAATGAGGGTCATACATGTTCCCACAATAGAGAATTAGAAAGGTAAACATCCTGTAAGTGGCATGTATTTAGTGTGACCAAAAAACAAAGTTATTAGAAAAATGGATCTGGAATATAATTTCTAACAAAAAGTAGAAATTAAGATACTATTCTTTCTTTTGAAATAAAAAGCTTTTATTTTACATTTAGGGGTGCATATACCTGTTTGTTGTATAGGTAAGTTCATGCCACGGGCGTTTGCTGTGCAGACTGTCACCAGGTACTAAGCCTAGTACCCAATCATTATTCTTCCTGATTTCCTCCCTCCTCTCTGATAGTCCCCAGTGTGTGTTTTTCCCCTCTGTGTCCATTTGTTCTTATCATTTAGCTCCCACTTATAAGTGAGAACATGTGATATTTGCTTTTCTGTTCCTGTATTAACTTTCTAAGGACAATAACTTCCAGCTTCATCCATGTTCCTGCAAAAGACATGATCTCATTATTTTTTATGACTGTATAGTATTCTATGGCATGTATGTACCACATTTTCTTCATCCAGTCAACCATTGATGGACTTTTGGGTTGATTCAATGTTTTTGCTGTTGTGAATAGTGTTACAATGCAAGTTCTTGTGCATGTGTCTTTATTAAGATCTTATTCTTAATCCAGTCAATAGTTTTGACAGAATTCAGCATCATTTCATGTGTTTATGGTTCATTCCATACCATCTCCCTTATCAGTTATAAAAGCATATAAGCATTTTACAACTGTTTTGTGTTGGAGGGTATTATGAATTAGAAAGTTATATTGCCCAGCATTCAGAAGTTCAATATAAGCATTCTGTGTGTACTTTAATGATACATATTTTTTAGCTATAATGATTGAGGTGGTTGTTTTGTGACCTTATATACAAACTTGAAGTCCTTTTTGTCAGTAGGCAGAGTATAAGTTTAAAGTTGATACCACCTGTTCATAGGTTAAAAATTTCCCTATGCTATCAAAGTCAACTCTTGCAATGTTAATATGAAATGAAAATTATTCCCATTTTTACAGAAGTGAAAACTCAGGTTCCCACTACATGGTCTGCAACTAGGAAATGATGAAATCTGGATTTGAATTTGGATCTTCCATAGTACTTAAACTCCGCCATGTGATGTTGATACTCAGAAAGACATCTCCTATATAGTGCTATATAATGTAATGATTTGAAAAATACTGGACCTTAGAGTAGAATTTTTTTAGTAGGATATGAAATCATTAAAGCTATATGAGTTTGGGTAAGTTTCTCAACCTCTCTATACCTCAATTTTTTCATTTGTGAAATGGAAATAATATTACAACAAACAGGATTAAATATATTAATATATTCACAGCAAGTAGACAGTGACTGGCACATAAATAAGTACTAAATAAATGGTACCTACTATTATTACTGGACTGTGACTAAAGCCATCATTCTTATATAAGAAACCACTGCTCAGAGAATCCATATGTCTGGTTGCTCACAACCAATTTGAAGAAAGGCAGGGGTTATATATCAGGGCATGTAAAATGAGAAAGAAATTGCTCTTTACCACTCCAAAGTTAAGTGAAGTACCAAGGCCAACTACAATGACCTGATGATGTCTACTACTCCAAGGCAAGACAGAATTGAATATTGTACAAACTCTGTTACTCTGCCCTGGTGTCCCATATGTAGACTGTCATTGTAATGTATGGACAGAATTGAATCCTTCTATAACACTCAAAATTGTGGCAGCTATTGGGAAAAGGGAAAGCATAAAGCCTTTGGATTTTTTTTCTATCACAGTCATAAACAACACCAAATGGCCTCCCATGAAGTTGAAGATGCAGAGCTAGGGTCAGCCTCAGCCCATGGTATCCCAGGCATTGAGCCAGGACCAGATGGGGTGAATAATTCTGTCTACCAGCCCACTGATGGATCACAAGACTATCAGAAAGGAGAACTACAGTTCCTTGGGGTAAGTCAGACTTAGTTTAAAAATTGATTTAAGGGGGAAGAAAAAAATTCAGTTGACCTGTTAAGAATGTATGTTTGAACTGTGAGGATTCTTTTACATGTGGATTTCTTCCACCTCTGCCATCCCGAAACAGCAAGAACAACCCCTGCTCTCTCCTTCTTCCTCAGTCTATTCAATGTGAAGAGGATAAGGATGAAGATCTTTATAAGTGGATGAAAATCCACTTAATGAATAGTAAATACATTTTCTCTTTCTTATGATTTCCTTAATAACATTTTAGTTTCTCTAGCCTATTGTATATAATATATCACATACAAAATATGTAATAATTGACTGTTTACGTTATTGGTAAGGCTTCTGGTCAGCAGTAGGCTATTAGTAGCTAAGTTTTTGGGAAATCAAAAGTTATATGTGGATTTTCAACTGTGAAGGGGTAAACATTGTAAACCCCTATGTTATTCAAGAGTCAACTGTATCATGTGAATTACTTTTTAATAATTTTATAAATTATATAATTTTATTTATATGATATTTATAAATTTTATAATTCTCAGTTATCACTGAATTAATGAAGAATTGGAGAAAAGACAGGGATTTATTAAAGATCTGGGGAGCAGAAATGCAGAAGCATTCTCTCATGGTAGAAAACATCAAACCTTGGAGAATAGATTCCAAGATCCTTTATTTTCTGCTTTGTGCCTTTGACCAGCCATGTCAGGAGGCTGAGCTCTATGAAGCTTATATTCTTTTTTTTAAAAAAATTTATTTTATTGCATTTTAGGTTTTGGGGTGCATGTGAAGAACATGCAAGATCGTTGCATAGGTACATACGTGGCAGTGTGATTTGCTGCCTTCCTCCCCAACACCTATATCCGTTATTTCTCCCCATGCTATCCCTCCCCAACTTCCCACCCCTATTCTATATTTTAAATTCAAAAATTGTGTTGAGAGAAAGGCTGAGTAAAATATGGGTTGCCCTCTGTCCGCCTTCATCATATTATAGCCCCAAAATGTGCTGGGAAGAGACTTTGACTCTATCTACCTTACCAGCCGTGTTTCCTTTACTCTCCTGCCGCTTGAGGAATTCTTGAGAATGAATAGAAATGTGGGGGAGAAGTGAAGATGAAAGGCTACCGCTGGAATTGGTGAGGATGGTGTGGAAGAAAAAACACTTTCAGATAAGCTCTTGCCCAGTTAATTTAGGCTTGACACTTAAACCATTTCGAGTACTGATATCTCCTTTCTGAGGACAATTAAAATGGTCTGTTTTCAGTGTACTCTTCAGTAAATGACTGTTATGACTCTTTTTCCTCTCCTTTTTTTCAGGCTATCCATATCCTGAATGCAGCAATGATTCTTGCTTTGGGTGTCTTTCTGGGTTCCTTGCCATACCTGTTCTACTTCAACAGGCACTTCTTTTTCTTCACCTTCTACACAGGCTACCCAATTTGGGGTGCTGTGTTTGTGAGTATTCATACTCCCCTGGCTGTGTGTTATTTCTTAGACCATCACTGCTGGAGATGTGTTTGATGACAAAAGTATTGTTTGTAGGTTATTTGAAGGTTGCATGCTGTGGTTTTGATTTGGATTCTTGTTACAAGCATTTAGAAACAAACATTTTCTTTTTTTATTTTTTAATTTGTTGCTTAATTATTTTTTTGAGATAGGGTCTTGGTCTGTTGTCCAGGCTGGATTGGCCTTCCAAAATGCTGTAATTGCTAGGTGCGATCCCTGATGCTTGGCCAAAAACTTCTTTCTGATTAAGAGAAATCACATTTACCAAGTACAAATGAAGTCCTAAAAATTATCGTATATCTATGTGTTACATTTGTAGATACTTAAAAAATTAAATGAAAAATGGGTATTCAGGTGTGGTGGCTCATGCCTGTAATATTAGCAGTTTGGGAGGCTGAGGCGGGTGGATCACAAGGTCAGGAGTTCGAGATCAGTCTGGCAATTCCAGCATTTTGGGAGGCCAACCCGAGAGGACCACTTGTGGTCAGGAGTTCGAGACCACCCTGGGAAATATGGTGAAACCCCATCTCTACTAAAAGTACAAAAACAAAAATTAGCTGGGCATGGTGGTGCTTGCTTGTAATCCCAGCTACTCTGGAGATGGAGCACGAGAGTCACTTGAACTGGGGAGGCAGAGGTTGCAATGAGCCCAGATCATGCCACTGCACTCCAGCCTGGACAACAGACCAAGACCCTGTCTCAGTTTTCTGTCCTGGGATGTAAATTTTAAAAAGGAGGTTTGTGTGACTATTGCTGGGTATCTGCTAATTGAGGGAGGGCCAAGAAGAAAATGATTGAGACTTAATATTCCTTTATATGTTTTACTTCCTGTTTTCAAACAGTTTTGTATTTCAGGAACCTTGTCTGTTGTAGCAGGGAGAAAACCCACAAGAACACGGGTAAGTAGTACTTCTTCTTTTTCTATGATTAGAGGAGTAGTAATAAATTATTCATAAACAGTAGGAGAGTAGGGGGTCCATGGATACAACTGAGACACCAAGTATCGTTTAATGTATAAAACATTAGTTTTCTTAACGTATTCAGATGGTAGGTCAGCAGAAGATGACACAGATGGTGAGCATGCATTTTTGGGTTGCTTACTCTGAATATTGGTGAATCTGCTTAGAAAAAGTCTTCTTGATTTTTATGTGTTGCCAAATTTGACTAATTCTAATTATTTGAATGTAAGAACTCCCACTACTAACTAGTTTCACAGCTGAAAGTCCAAACTTCTATTCCTAAACAACTGCTAAGTCTCTACGATGTGTTCTCAGTGAATCATGTAGCCATTGATACTGTACTTTCCTACTCGATTCATTCACGTTCCCTCTTCCATGGAAGGCTATTTTACCATTTTACTCTGGCCTCAAACACCAATCCTTCTTCTTTCATTCTTACTCACTGCTGATGATGTTTTTGTCTCTTTTGAGAAAACTGAAACTATTAGAAGAGAATTTTCAGACCTCTACCACTTAATGGACTAGATTTATATATATTATATATATATATATATATATATATATATATAATATATAAAATATATATTTTATATATATATATATTTTCTAGCCTCTTAACCATAGGTAAACTCCCTGTGATTTTCTTTAAAGTGGATCTCCCTACTTGAGTATGAAGTATAAGATTCCATTCTTTTTTTCCCCACACAAGTGCATCACTTTAATTTGTGTCTCTCTGCTAGTTTTTTTTTCCTTTGTCACCCAGGTGGGAGTGCAGTGGTGCAGTCACAGCTCACTACATCCTCCACATTCCAGGGCCAAAGCAATCTTCTCACCTCAGCCTCTCGAATAGCTGTGGCTACAGGTGCATGCCACCATGTCTGTCTAATTTTTGTCTTTTTTTTTTTTTTTGTAGCGACAGGATCTTGCCATGCTTGCCATGTTGCCCAGGCTGATTTCAAAATCCTGGACTCAAGCAATCCTCCTGCCTCAGCCTCTCAAAAGGCTGAAGTTAAAGGCATGAGTTACCTTGCCCAGTCTCTAATCAGCATGTAAGCATCCAGTTACTGTTATCAACTTAAAACAAAACAAGAAAACTGACAGTATTTCTCCCTGCTAGGTACAGGCACAATTTGTATTTCTTTCTGTAGCTAAACTCCTTCAAAGGAATTATCATGTTCTTTCTCTAATTTCCATCTACCTGGTTTCAATTAAACCCATTTCAGTAAGACTTTATTTCCTACTATCCTTCTGTAACTGCTGTCTTTAAGATCACTGAAAACTTCCACCTTGCTAAAACAATGGTCGATTCTTGATCCTCATCTACCTTATCCTAGGAGTAACATTTATTGTAGTTAGTCACCCACTCTCCTTCCAGGAATTTCCTCACTTGGCTTCCAGCATACATTGATTTTCCTCCCATCTTTTGATTTCTCCATCTCAGTCTCCTTTCCTGGATCCTTTCCCTCTCTCTGACCTTTTAATATTCTGGTGCCCCAGAGCTGAATTCTTTGCCACCTAGTCTTCTCAATCTATAGCTACTTCTTCTGTGATCTCACACATTCTCATGACTTCAAATAACATCTATATTCCCATAACCCTCAAATAATATTTCCAGCCCAGGTCTATCTCCTGATCATCAGATTGGCATGTGCAGATTCAAAGCTCAACTCCCAGCCTCTTTCCCCAACCTTCTCCTCATGTCAGCTGATGGGAACTTCATCCTTCCAGATTTCCAGACCAAACATCTTACAATATCCCTGAGTCTTCTTTCTTTCACAATCTTGAATCTGATTTATCAGCAAATAATGTTGGCTCTACTTTCAAGCTATTATTATATCTGATTTTGACCTTTTCTCATCTTTCTCCTAATGACATTTCATCCAGTTCACCTCGTCTCTACTAATCAGGCTCCCAGCTTTTATCGCTGAACTTCTCTTTGCCTTGCTAGAAACAGTGATCCCCTGAAGCCATCAAGCCAAGTATATCATTTATTTGCTCCAAATCCTTCATTTGCTTTGTGTTTTTCTTAGAGTTAGAAACAAAGTCCTGTTCATGATTCTGCAGAGCCCTACATGATTTAGCTCTCTGTTAACTTTCCTTCTTCTTTATATCCTAATATTGCCCATGTGCCCCCAATGCCATTGGCCCCCTTGCTTCCCCAGAAGATTCTGGTCTCAGGAATTTGAACTGAGTCTTTCCCTGACTGCAAGGATATTCCCTCAGATATCCTCTTGGCTGGCACCCACAGCTCTTTCACGCCTCTCCCCAGTGTCATTTCTTTTCTTTCTTTCTTTTTTTTTTTTTTTTTGAGACAGAGTTTTGCTCTTGTTACCCAGGCTGGAGTGCAATGGCGCGATTTCGGCCCAACGCAACCTCCGCCTCCTGGGTTCAGGCAATTCTCCTGCCTCAGCCTCCTGAGTAGCTGGGATTACAGGCACGCGCCACCATGCCCAGCTAATTTTTTGTGTTTATAGTAGAGACGGGGTTTCACCATGTTGACCAGGATGGTCTCGATCTCTTGACCTTGTGATCCACCCGCCTCAGCCTCCCAAAGTGCTGGGATTACAGGCTTTAGCCACCGCGCCCGGCCTATCATTTCTATTTAATATCATGAACCACCTCTCTTTGGATACCCAGATTCTCTTTACACCATTCTATTAGCCACTAGTACTTAATTGCTTTCAAAAATATTATGTAATTTACCTATTAGTATGTTTACTTTTTTCTTTGTTTTTATTGCTAGAATGTAAGCTTCATGGAGGGTGGGGACCAGAAATCTTTCTTTCTTTCTTTTTTTCTTTTTTTCTTCTTTTTGAGACGGAGTTTCGCTCTTGTTACCCAGGCTGGAGTGCAATGGGGCGATCTCGGCTCACCGCAACCTCCGCCTCCTGGGTTCAGGCAATTCTCCTGCCTCAGCCTCCTGAGTAGCTGGGATTACAGGCACGCACCACCATGCCCAGCTAATGTTTTGTATTTTTAGTACAGACGGGGTTTCACCATGTTGACCAGGATGGTCTCGATCTCTTGACCTTGTGATCCACCCGCCTCGGCCTCTCAAAGTGCTGGGATTACAGGCTTGAGCCACCGCGCCAGGCCAGAAATCTTTCTTTGGTCATTGATGTTTGCCTTGCGTCTAGGATATCGATGCGTGTGTAAACAATATTCAATCAATGCTTGTTTCAGTGAATTGTTGCCAGAGGAATGGGGTATGTGCTGAAGATATTAACTGAAAATTCTTACTCTTTTTCAGATGCAACACAGTTTTGGAATGAACATTGCCAGTGCTACGATTGCATTAGTGGGGATTGCTTTTCTCTCAGTAAATTTAGCAGTTAATGTCCAGTCATTAAAGAGCTGTCGGTCTTCACCATCACAGGACCTATGTATTTACATGGGCTCCATATCAAATGTATGTTTTTGAAGAATATGTATAATAATAAAATATTTCAAACAATCCAGAATGTACAGAAAAATAATATGTCAGGTACCATGCTACCATAATTTGAATTTTGGGTCTATTTGCTCTATAATGAAGGGCAAATTAGATAATCCTTTGAATGTTTTTTTTTGAAATGAGGGTAACAACCCATTTCATGGGATTGCAATGAGAATTTAATAAGTTAACATATGATAAACAATTAAAACAAGGCTTAACATATTATGTTATTAACATTACTATAACAAGTACTATTACACTCACCAGAGAGATTTTTTGGAAGTTTCATTTCATATTTCTTTGCTTAATAAAACAAACGAGAGATTTACAGCTTTCTCTGAAATCTGGAATGTTCAAATCATGAGTTAAGTTTTGAAGGACTTCACTTTAGAATTAAATGAGTATGGTGTTTTAAAAGGAAAGCTCTTTAATAACCTTACCAGGTTTTTTTTGAGACAGAGTCTTGCTCCATTGCCAGGCTCCAGGCTGGAGTGCAGTGGTGTGATCTCGGCTCACTGCAACCTCCACCTCCTAGATTCAAGCAATTCTCCTGCCTCAGCCTCCCGAGTAGCTAGGACTACAGGTGCATGCCACCATGCCCAGCTAATTTTTGTATTTTTAGTAGAGACGGGGTTTCACCATGTTGGCCAGGATGGTCTTCATCTCTTGACCTCTTGATCCACCTGCCTCGGCCTCCCAAAGTGCTGGGATTACAGGCATGAACCACTGCGCCCAGCCCCCTTACCAAGTTTTTAAAATTTGTGTTTAGGTATTCTACCTCTTCTGAGGTCTACTTAGAAATTAATATTTTCCCTTGGAATTATCCATTTCATCCCAATGGTCTATGAACCATTAGTTATAGACTCACTCCTAAGCTTTCTGTTTTCTGATACTACTCATGGAAGTTTGTGTTCTCATTTTCTTTATTGTATTTTTAATGATCTAAATTTATATTTGTCAGAGCCTGATTTTTCTGTAGATTTGGTCGTATTTTTCCACCAGGGATATATCGTATTGGTTGCTTCTAGGTGCCTCAGTAATTAAAGTAGAGTCACTAGCCCAAAAGCAATTTTATTTTGTGTTTATATCAGCTTAGTGTTTTAGTTTCTAGGGATAAAGTAAATGCCTCAACTCCTATGAAGTACTGTTAATGAAATTGTGGAAAGGTCATTTTTGTTCATTTTCCTAAACTGCCTGCTACTCTCCTTAGTTTACTAATTCAAATTGGAAGGTGCTAGTGATAGTGTCAGAATTTTGTTTCTGTAGCTTCTTCCCCCTGTAGCTACTTCACGTGGGTTGACATAAGAAATGCCACACATCTTTCTCTTCAGATAAAATGTTTTCATACTTTAGATTGAAATACTATCCCTTCTACAGTGTTATGTGTGTCTGTGTCTTAAATCTAATTTATGGTTCACTTTGTTCCATTTTATGGGAAGGAGATGTTTTGTCTGGTTTCCTGCTGACATTTTTTTTTCCCCCTCTGGATGTTGCCACTGGGTTTGATATGAGGCGTCATATCCCTTAGGGCATGGTGTCTCTACTGCTGATTCTCACCTTCCTGGAATTGTGTGTGAGCATCTCTACCTTGGCCATTTGGTGCAATGCAAACTGCTGTGATTCTAGAGAGGTGAGGTTTTTCAAATGACTGATCATTCACATGGTCTTAAAGCCTCCCTCTAGGATTTGAAGTTGTTTCTGACTCTTAAACCTTTATGTGGTAATGATTTGTGGAGTTCTTGGAGTTAGAGATTGTATGACTGTTAGAGATAGAATGAAGGCTAAAAATAATTTGGATGTGAAAATGCAAGAGGAAATACTGTGTTTAATATATAAGAGCACACATTCCCACCTTGAAAAGATGGCCATTGAAGGTAGAGGTTGTACAAGGTATACAGGTACAGCTGGAATTAAGTTTAATTATTTTCTAATAACTTGTGACTTTCTACCTATATGACCTAGGAACAGTGAATAATTCTTTCTAAATTTTAGATATATTAACTGTAAAATGAAAATAATATTTTCATTCTCTTCTGATGTTTGTTGTGAGGACTGTGTATATAATCTTTACAGCATTTGGCACAGTAATAATCAGTGAATGGATTTTATTGTTGATGATTATGATGATAACAAAAAGGGATGGGAGGAGAGGGAGATGACGATCCTGTTCTTGGACATTAATGTTGTTTTATTTTCCAGGCGATTTCCTCATCTCCCAATTCTGTGGAATCAAGAATACCTCCTTATGAAAATAATTCTGAAAGCATGAATATTTGACCTTAAATCTCCAGTGACTCAGAGGTTTACCCATAAACTCAGGAGAACATGAGCCTGCCTGTAAAGCTCAATCTTTCTATCATGTCACCAATCACTAGAACCTTGGACACCTGACTGACTCTATCCTTTCTCTCCTTACTATAAATCCTACTAGTGTGTTGTGGGTATAGAAGGACAGATATATCTCTTCAGGCATTCTTGGATTTGTAACTTCTATGATCATTACTCCAAAGTTGTTTCAGAAATTGGTTCTATTTTTTCGTACCCACCTACTTCATTGCTTTATGAGGTTTAAGGAAGGAAGGTAGTATAATACCTATTTAATATATTTTTCCTAAAATCCAACTTCTGACCACCCAGTAGGAAGAAAATTGAGACTTTTTTTTTTTTCATTACAGAGAAATGCTTCTTGACTTTAGCTAACATTAGCATTACAAAAAGTGTCAAATGAAAAAATTACCATCATTGTCATGAAAATAAATTTTCACTGTATTTGAGGTGGGCGGGTTAAGGCTCAGGGATTTTGTTTCAGTGAACTGCTGGAATTCACACATGCCCTGATATGTATATGATGATTTATGTTGGTGAGGCTGAGAGCAAGCCTAAATGTGTTCTTCAAAGGACAATGGGAGACTGTAAAGTAGAGAAGCCAAGAACAAGGAAGGCCTTTAGAATCTGACAAATCTGGGTTCAAATTCTGAAACTTTCGCTTATTACCTGTATGAACACGGTACCTAATCTCTCTGACCTATTTTTCCACATCTGTAAAATAGATATAATACAGACAACTACTTTGTCAGCCGCTACGAGGGTTAAAAGGAAATAAAAAGAAGATGTGGAACAGCACCAAAGGTACTTGATGATGTTGCTGTTGGTGGTGGTCTTGCTGTTGCCGTTGAAAGCTTAGGTGGGATTGTGGTCAGATGCACTGGGGAGATACAGTGGAAACCCTTACTCACACTCCCATTGCGCCTTCTCGTATAACCTCCGACAACTTCAATGGCCATCTTTTCAAGGTAGCAATGTGGTGTGAAAACTTCCCTCAGTTCCTCATTTATATATCTGCTAAAGCACTTAGATTTCTTACTCATAAATATTCAAGATAAATAAAATGTATGAATTAGAAATGTAAACACTTACTGTGTCCGTAAATGTATACCCAGAAGTTCCTCTTAGCTGCTTGTGTATCATATGTGCAACGGTTCTTCTCTACTACTTCTCGCCTACCATATAATAAATATTTCTTTATTTTTTAATCCATTCGACGATCACTTGGGGAGTGCCTGTTATGTGTCATGTATTGTGCTAAGAGTTTGGCATATAACAGAGAATGATGCATAAGCTATGCTGTTAAGTCACTTGTAGTGGGAGATACAGACCCCTAAAAACACATAAGGGCTATGATAGGAAGAGTATAGGAATTTTGAGAAGCACATAAGAAGAGTTTCTAACTCAGATTAGAGGACATGTCAGTGATAATTTTTCAGAACAGATCTTAAATATAACTGGGAGTTTACACAATGGAAGGGAAACGGAAGAAGAGAGGATACATTCAAAAGCCTTTAAGTTAGAAAAAGTTTTGAATATTCAAAGAATAAACTAGGAACGTTAGTGGGTCTAACTTCAGTGTATAATGGGCAGACGGAAAGATAAAAGTTTGAAGAGAGAAGCGTATGTCACAAGAGATTATTAGACGACAACTCTGTGAGTCTTAAGAAGCAACTGAAAATGTATCCAAGTGCAGGGCATGGTGGCTCACGTCTGTAATCCCAGCAATTTTGGAGGCTGAGGCAGGGGGATTACTTGAGGTCAGGAGTTCGAGACCAGCCTGGCTAACATGATGAAACCCCGTCTGTACTAAAAATACAAAAATTAGCTGGGCATGGTGGTACATGCCTGTATTCCCAGCCACTCTGGAGGCCGAGGCAGGAGAATCACTTGAACCTAGGCAGCAGAGGTTGCAGGGAGCCAAGATTGTACCGCTGCACTCCAGCCTGGGTAACAGAGTGAGACTCCATCTCAACAACAGCAACAACAAAAACTTTACACAGTGATGTCCTGAAACTGGCTTGTATTGGTTGTGGAAGTCAATTTTAAATTTCCAGGGAGCACAAGTCAACATAATTTGGGTAGCTTGAAATTAGCTATGATGAGAGGATTTACACCACAGAGATGGGAAAAGCTACAGGTTTTAGCATTCACATGTAGACTTTGCCTGCAGCAAATACTATTGTGTTGTTTGAAAGGTGATTTTGTTTCCCTCATTTCTACTTTATTTATCATTTAAATGTTTCAGTAAGGAAGATTTGTCTCTTCTCTATTCATTTATTAAATATTTGTATCATTATCATTTTGTGCTCATGAATATTTTTATTTTTCTTTTGGTTACAACCAATATTTATTTTGTTTCTCAACGTTTTCCAACTGTGGCCATTTGGAGCTGAGTTAGTTCCTGTGTAGTTTTTGCATGCTCCATCCCACCCTTCCCTTTTTACCACGTTCATATTTTCTGGAACTACAAGGTTCTTCCTGTTATTTCATCTGCTACAGACCTAGAATTTTCAGCCCTGGTTTCTTTATTGAGAGAACTATGTTTAGAAAACCTGACCTGGGGGCAAGATATGCTTATTGCTACTGTGCGTCACTGCTTCCAGGCACTCTCAGGGGACAAAGCTATGAAATATAGGCATGTACACTAACCCATGCACACATATGTCTATATTTGTTATCATATGTGTGTATGTATCTATCCACCACTCTCTTTCTCTCTGTCATGAATTCCTACTGATAAATTCTACTGAAACATGGCCATGCAGTTTCCATTCTAGCAACCTCCCAACCTTGCTTATTTATAACCTGTTTTCTGAGTATAATACATCTGGCAACAATTTCCACAATCAAGGAGAGGAATCCTCCTTCAGTGTCTTATAAGATTGTTGTAGGAGTCTGTAGGTCATCTTGCAGGGTTGTCTCAAGTATTGAACAAAAGACAGAGGTTCTGAGAAAAAACAGCAAATGGCTCCAGCATACAGAGAGAAAATTGAGAGGGAGCTAAAAGACATCTACAATGATGTACTGTCTCTTGGAAAAGTTCTTGATCCCATGCCTCAGAAGCAGAGATCAAAATCTATTTAAAAATGAAAAAGACTGCTATTGCTGCTTGGCCTGAGGTTGCTGCCGGTGATGACAAGAAAAAGGTTGTAATCAGTCACAACAAGCACACCGTAAGCTTGTGAAATTATCAAAAAGGAAATGCAACCAACAAATCCTATCAGATTGGGTCTGGCCCCTAATGTCTCTGTCTTCTGTTATGAGCTTCTGAACTCCCCAGAGAAATCCCATTCACTTGTAAAGGCAGCTTTGGTGAAGCCCTTGTTGAACTTGATACATTAAGTTGTTATACAAAGATAGCTTGCTAATGCAGTTACTGAGAGACAACTTGACATGCGGACATTGGATACTCAAAGAGATGAAACTGGAGCAAGAGGAAGAAAAAATTAACCAGCCTTCCAACTTTCATCTGCCTCGTTCTAAAATTTACACAGTAGACAGTTTGTCATTCATGCTGTCTCACAAATAGTTTTTTGTTTAGATTTGTGACAGGTTTATGTTCGTCGTAGCAATATTCACAATGGCCAAGATATGGAATTTCTATTTTAATTTCAATACTTCCTATGTGGTGTTTTATGTTTAACATTAGGAGAGTAGAGCCAGTTAACATTTTGGGAGTTATCTGTTTTCATTTTGAGATGGCGAAAATGGAGATGTGGAATTTTTATATAAATTATAAATGTTTGGCATAGTACTTTTGGTACCCTGTGACTTCACAATCACCAGAACTAAAGCTGCCCCCATGTCTGAATGAAGAAAACCGCTTACAAATTGGTTTGTCTTGGTGGGGAATAAAAGGGATAATTTGTTCCAGTCACAGGTATAGTAACTGTGGGTCCTTTAAGATTTGGAGCACCTACAAGATTGTGGTAGAAACAGATATGCTATGGATACCACATGTTAAACCACGTATGTCTGCAGAATACTCAATCTCAATGTGCCCACCTTTGACTACAGCTGCAGAAGTGTTTCTTTAGACAAAGCTGAGACCAATTTACTCTGGATAAGGGCAGAAATGGTTTAAATTCCATTATTTGTGAAGTTCACTGCTGTTTGCTTTCATTATTTTTGCTACGCTCATTATCTTTGTATTCAAATGTCTTAGGCAACCTAAGAACAATCATAAAAGTAAAGATGCAGTAAAAGTGAATTGCTTGACAGTCATTACCTCGTTTATATCAAGCAAATCAGTAAAATTTTAAAAAAGTATTTAATTCTTTTAATGTTTTTTCTTTTATGATTTTTTTGATACTTGCCTTACATGCACGTGCTATAAAAGTAGTTAACAGAGAAATAACTTGAGATAATGCATAGTTTTGTTTAATATCTGATGATATTTTTATGAACACTCCAACATAATTGTTAACAACACATGTATTATGTTCATTTAAGTGGAATAAATGTATGAATAGCCTTTCCACTACTTTCTCTATAGCTTTTGATGTAAATTAGTCTTTTGAGTCTAAAATTTCTCTAAAGGAAGTTGTACATTTTTTGAAATGTATTCCTTATTCTCTCTTGGCAGCTAATGGAATTTTACCAAGTTTAAACACAAAGTTTATTATAGCAAAAATACTAATAGCATAATTACCATTTGCAACCATGTCCCGTGTTCCCCTCTCCTTCTCCTTACCCTGGAGAAAATGAGTTTTTGTTTTTTTCTAGTGGAAGGAGATTAATTGGAAAAAAGTAATGTTTCACTTAAAATTTTGCCATACAGCATTTTCTAACTTAGGAAGCCACAATGTTCCTGCCCCATCATGACACTGGGTAGCATTAACTGTAAATTTTGGGCTTCAAAATAACTTTTGGTTTTTAAGAAACTTAGATACTATTATAGGCTGCCTTTGATTTTGAACCTTTATTCTTTCTATTTGTCAGAAACATAAGATTATCTTTCTTTTTTAGCCTTCTCTCTTGTCACCAACCATTCCTACTTGGTAGCTGTTTACTTGGAAAAAGGCTACGTGATCTTGCTGGCTCCACTAAATGTCTAAGACACCCTGCTTCCTTTGCTTGCATCCCACAAACTATTTCCCTCATCCTATTTACTGCAACAAATCTCTCCTTAGTTGATGAGATTGTGTTTATCTCCCTTTAAACCTTACCTGCCCTTAAAAGTCTGTCATTTTCTGCCTTTGAAATCTTTCCTCTCTCTTTTCCTCTATTCTCTAAATAATAATGCAGTTAAGTTATACCCAAAGTTCACTCTACGGAAAATTTCCTCAATACTTTGCAGAAAATGCCAAACAAATCATTAAAAGAGGCATATTGTTTTTTCTTTTAGAATGTAGGCTCCTAAAGAGGAAGGTCAATGTTGTCTGTATGTTCTATTGTGCCTCGCACATTGTAAGTGCTCAATAAATATTGATGACAGGAGGCAGTGAGTCTTGATTATGAAGGTGAGTAACACTGGTGAGAAATCCCAAACACTGGGTTGTTGCTTGTTTTATCATGACCTTACATTAAGTTGGGAAAATATTTGCCCCTGTTGAATAACTGTCCCAAATAGTACATTCAAATAAAAATACAATAGAGGAAAAAAATTAACAAGTTCTGGCTATCTAAGGTGATACAGTTTGGCTGTGTCCCCACCCAAATCTCATCTTGAATTATAGTTTCCATAATTCCCGTGTGTTATGAGAGGGACCCTGTGGGAGGTAATTGAATGATGGGGGTGGTTACCCCCATGTTACTGTTCTCATAATGGTGAGCGAGTTCTGACAAAATCT